TGCCTCCATTTAATTTATATCTCAACATAGAACAAAATGAAAGCTAACCACATTGAACTCCTAACTACAGCAACTGTTCAGCAAAAAAGAAAACTATAAAAGATATTCCACACCTCTTCTGAAAGGTGAAAAAAGCCTAATTTTTCCATGATATTTTCATTTACATTTCAATAAAATAAGCGAATAAGTACTTCCCAGAATTTTCCAGAGTTTCATGCTGTAGACTCACTCACTTCAATACTCACTCGTAAACACATTTTAAGTAGTAAGTGAAGCCACTTGTTCTGCAAGTATTTTTGTAACACTAAAATTATCACCAATAGCTACAGAGCACTTAAAAAGCATCCACTGACATTCCATAACAGGGAGAGGACAAAGAGAAATTCAAAGATGTACCTTTGTTCTTTGAAAAACAGCTTTGGGATCCAAAGTCTTGGTCTTCCCAGGATTATTTTTATTTGTTTTAATCCAACATATATCTTCACATCTTCTGTATCCCCATTTGCGCAAACACTACCAGAGTTCAACAAAACAGAATTTTTGTACAATACAGCAAAAAATAAGAACAATGCATTGGAGACAAATTTAGACAAAGGTAACAAGGCTGCTGAAAACAAATTTCTTCTTTTCATTTTTCACTAATTTTTCCTAAAAAGAATGTTGGCAGATCCTATTGAATGGGATAGTGCATCACTAATGTACCTCTGGGCTCAAGATGAGATCGCCTTTTTCCTGAACTATCTCATTCAGTAGGAACTGTGATCCTCTTTTACAGGAGGACTGAAATACAAGTACAGGGAGGATGAAGCTCTACTATTGTTAACCAACTAAGTAGGCTTAACTCTGGATATTGTCCAATTTATTAATTCAAATTTTTAAAAAGAAAAACCTGATTTCTTCCGTAATTTTCCTAGAGACCAGATTGCAATTAACAGGTTTTCAAGCAATGTCTCTATTATAGTATATATTTATTTGAATCCCTTCAACATTTTAAAAATATGCTTCATATTACCTCATATGGGTGATTTATACATTATTATCTATGGCATTAAACATACTGGTGGCACAATTTTATGTATGTATGCAATGTACAGAAGACGGTGTGATGGTTCAGCAGTTAAGATGCTGGGCTTGTCAGCTGGAAAGCCAACAGCCCAGGTTTGAGACCCGTACATCATGTGATAGGGTGAGCACCTGTCCTCACCCTAGCTCCTGCTAATCTGGTTTGAAAGCATGGAAAACCAAGTAGATAAATAGGTACCACTTCGATGGAAAAGTAAGAGCACTCCATGACATTATCCTGGCCACATGATCTCAGAAAGTGCTCATTCAACAGTCCTTGAAACGGAAATGAAACCCACCCACTATACTCAGCAATTAGTGGAATAAAATCCTCAGGGACAAAAATGGACCCTACAAATATATGTAGAACTTGGCTTTCAAGACTTCCTGTAGTTGATTCTTAGTCAGAATCTTTAGTCAGTGACTCTAGACTTTAGATATTTTTTATATGCTGGCCTTATCTGAAAGCCTCATTGAACCAGTTATTATTAATGTCAATGACAAAGAATTACATCATCTTACCACCCTGCCGAGATCCAGGCCCTCACCAGAACCACACCAAAGAAAGACAAATGATCGTGGGGCAGCAATTTCTTCAATGTCCAGCTTCATAATCTACAAAAAGTAGAAAATGTGTAATGTTTTAAGCAAAAGCATTTGCACAGCAGAGTTCAGTAAACACCCTGCACCTGTGGGAAAGCACCAGGAAGGAATTATATAATAAATAAATGGTTTTTCTTAAATAATATACCAGTTTTATCTACTTCTTTAGATGTGTCAAAGTATCAAAAATAAAAGGCAAAGAAAATACAACTATGCAGACATTCATGTTTGATATCAGTAGTGCATAAATAGCTCCAATATAGAGGCAAAGATACTTGCCTATATAATAATAATACCANTGATTTAAATCAAATCCATCCTGTCACTTACTGCAGTCTTCTCACACTCGTGGTCCACAGCCTATTTGCCATCTTAATCCTCCCCACAAATGCTGACATTTAGGCATTAAGAGCTTGCATACTTACTGCCTCAGCCATGAATCCACTTTACATTGTCCAAATAATTCTATAAACATTAGCACTAGCATTCAGAAAACTGACAATAATAAACAAGGCTCAAATGAAGTTACCAGCTGCAAGACCATATGTGTTCTGCCAAGTGGAATTGTGATTTCACACATGCAGTCCCCCCACCCCAAAATGCAAATAGGAACTTAGATGAATGTTAACATTGGAATTTCATTAGAGTAAAGATCAATTAACTCTCCCATCCACCTTGTTGTGCTAAACATATCTGACCAGCTAGTTTGTGTTTATGAATTATTATGGCACAAGATATATACAAATTTTAAATAATACTGATAATTCCATATTAAATGTTGTGATAATAGTTTGAAAATGATTTAGAAATAGCAGAATAAAGGGACATACACAAATATAGGTAGTTCTTACTTAATGACCACTTGATCAGCAACCGTTTGTAGTTACGTCAGCACTGAACAAATGCTACTTAAACTATCACCAAAAAGGCAGTGATGGGGAACATAGGTGGGTGGAGTTTGAGAGGAGCTTGAGAGTTTGCAATCAAATGTTGATCATATGACTACGGAAAGAGTACATGCATGTGAGACCAAGTAAGAAGTCACTTTTTTCAGCACTGTTGTAACTTCAAACATTTGCTAAAAAAATGGTCATATGTCAAGGACTATCTGTATTTTATTTTATGGTCCATGATTAGATAAAGGGTGAGGAAGATTCATGAATTTCTGTCAAACATATAGAAGTATCTCAACATCTGCTCTTCTTACAAAACAATTGCTCAAGCAGTAAGTATAGTTGTCAGAGCAATAGGAAAGGGTCCAAATATTGCTGAAGTACCGAATACTGGAAAGAAGTTAAACACAGCCCCTCACTATCAGAAGAATTCTCCCTTGCCTCCATTTAATTTATATCTCAACATAGAACAAAATGAAAGCTAACCACATTGAACTCCTAACTACAGCAACTNCGGCTTGCCTCCAGAAGTTGTGAATGCCCCAACACTGCAAGTCTTTAAGAAGATGTTGGATAGCCATTTGTCTGAAACGGTATAGGGTTTCCTGCTTATGCAGGGGGTTGGAGTAGAAGACCTCCAAGGTCCCTTCCAACTCTGCTATTGTATTGTATTATTGTATTATTCTCCCCCCCCCACCTCCTTACTGCCCAAATCTGCAGCCAGCTCCGCTCTCCACTGGCAGGCCACAACATTTATCTGTTTTGACGCAATGTACATCCTAAGATATGTTTTTCAGTTACATGGACCAAAGTAAAATCCTGTGCTCAAGAGAACAATAGAATGTATGCCTCACAGGGAGCATATCAATGCTTACTCTTTCTCATTTTTTCTTCACACCAACCATGTTCCCTTATGCCCAAGCTCTTCTTTATCTTTTTAAATGGGCACATTTCCAAATAAAGCACTGAAATACTGATTCTTGTTATTATTCTCTCGTTGTAAAATTGTGTAAAGGGGATCCAGCTCTATATGTTTGCCTGTTTGATATGTCAGGAAAAGAGTTCAGAAATGGGTTAGATCCAGCCTGAGGCTATGGAGAAATATATGGCAATTCATCATTGCAGAAGAAATAGATGGACAGTGGCTCAAAATACCGCCAATTGCTCAGTTCTTAGTCTTTATCTCGGTACATAATGCATAATGGAACATATGTAGCTCAGCCTAACGTTACATGTACACATACATGGATGCAGATATTTTATTTCATTATGCAAAACAAAATACAGATGCATTCCATGAAGGATTTAAACTGTGAATTAAAAAGAACTTGAGACAACATGCTTTGCATGATTTCATTATTTTGCAATTTTCTAACACTTTTTATGGAACCTAGGTGCTCCATATGAATACTTTTGAAGAGGTTCTGAGCACTACAACCAAATTGCAAGCCCATATTCAGCTCTGGAAATGTACATGGTGCTTTCTGTCAGAAAATGGACTCCTTTGCACTCCTGTATGAGCAATTATATAAAAACTTTATAGAGATGGAACCAATCTCTATACGTATTATTTGTAACAGGCTTTAGAATAGAATTTAGAATACAGGTAATCCTTGACTCATGACCACAACTGAACCCAAAATTTATGTTATTGAGTGACACATTTGTTAAGCAAGTTTTGCCCCATTTGGCAATCTTTCTTACTAGTTGTTAAGTGAATCACTGCAGTTGATAAATTAGTAACCCAGTTAAATGAATCTAGCTTTCCTATTGACTTTGCTTGTCAGAAGGTCTCAAAAGGAGATCATGTGACCTTGAGACACAGAAATGGCCATAAATCTGACCATTGTTGGCAACTGGTGGTCATGTGATCAAATTTCAGATGCTTGGCACCTGATGGTCAGTTGCCAAGCATCTGAAATTTGATCACGTGATCATGAGGATGCTGCAAAGGTTGTAACTGTGAAAAATGATCATAAATCACATTTTTCAATGCCATTGCAACTTTGAACGGTCACTAACTGAACTGTTGTAAGTCAAGAACTACTGTAAACAGTAAATAAGAATAAAATAACACCAACATGACAATTATTGTCCCCTAAACATGTGGGAAAAATAGCTTTTAATAACTAGTATTAATCTAATCCTATAAACTTTTATTCGGTAACTCCAGGTTAAAACAGATTATACTTTATAAACAAATTATAGAACTTAATTAATGTGGTGATTAATTGGTGGTTAATTAAGTAGTGTAGTTATATTATACAGTATATGGTCACACAGTCAGCCAGAGGTTTATACTGGATTTGACATTTTTGTCCACCTATCATGTCCTTCCAAAGGACCGGAAATAGGTAGATGTTTAATAATATTAAATGTATTTTTGCATGATTTAAACTGTTTCAAATAAACCTTTTGCAGTTGACTGATGGTGATTTTGCCAATACCGATGACATCCTCCAAATGTTTTGGAATTGTTCCCAATACTCCTATTACTACTGGTATTATCTTTACATTTTTGTTACATCCATTCTACTTATTTTTGCAGATTTTGATATTTTATGATTTTCTCTAATTCTTTCTTTTCTCTTCTGTTGCCTCCAGATATTGTAATGTATACTATCCACATTTTTTGTGTTTTTTCACCAACTACTGTTATCTGGGATGTTGTGTGGCAGATACTTATCTGTTTAAATTCCAAAGTCCCAGAGCACTTTAGCTTCTTTATTTTCTGTTCCTGTTTTGTGATTGTTATGGTTAGTCATACAGTCAGCCAAAGGTTTAGACCAGAGTTGGCATTTTTATCCACTTATCAAATCCTTTCCAAGGACCTGGTATGGCAGATGTTACTGTCCGATGGTGTAGGAGGTTTTGTTGCAGGATGTAAGCTTTTGCAAAGCTGAAAAAAAGCCATTATCATCATTATGAAGGGAAAGTACACAAGGGTGAAAGAAGACAAAGAATATTTTTTAAAATATATATATAGATAAATTTTATTCACTGCATGAAAAGGGTAAACCATATATCCAATTGACTATTATGAAAACAGACCGTTGAGTTGGATGAGCTTTTTCCAAGTTTCAGCTTGGTCCTTATGTTGTTACCTTTATTTTTCTCAATCAGAATATTTTTCATTTCATGGATTGTGTCAAAATTGTGTCACTTTTATGTAGGTGGCATATGAGTGCACATATAGAGATACAAACATTATGGCTATGGCTACTTATGGAGGAAAGTGTGACAAAAAATACAGAAACAAGAGCCAATATAATACATGCAATATAAGTAGAAACAACAACAGCAAAGAGCTCATGAGATAGATGTGTTTCTCTGGCATCTTAGTACAATTAGTCCTGAATACTAATTCCTATAGACAGTCTATGGTGAGGGACTGAAACTTAGAGTTCTTGGAATAAAAATCTCTGATTGGTTCAATAGCAAATGACTTTTATTAATCGTCTTTACAAGACAAAAGCGATTTGTGAAACAATTTGAGCTTTAGATTTGTAACTTTTCACCCCTTTTTGACAAAACAGATGCAGTAACAACCAGAAATGTCAAATTCTTGGCAATGTAGAAAGAATCCAGTCTGAAAAACTCTTTCCTAACATTTACACATATGGGAAACAGAATCTTGACACAAATTCACACTTCATAAAATCCATTTCAAGCAGCACTATTAACTTTTGCTGCATATTTTTAAATAAAAAATCTATATTAGTCATTCTGAATTTACAATACTTATTAACACTGCAATAGGAATAGCTACAGAATTTGAAATGAAGCCAATTTTTCTACTGGGTTCTTAATATATAAACTGCTTTGAAAGGACTGTGTGTTCAAAGGTAACTAAAAATACTTTAAAGTGTTAATGTAAATTAAACACATTTGGCCTAGAATCTTGAAGTGCAATTATGACCCAAATGCACAAAAGAAGAAATTGGCAAACTTGCAGAGAAATACATACCCCTCTCACCTAATATTAAATATTTATCTTTTAGAAGATGAGCTCAGCTTGAGAAACTCTTTACCTTTTACAGTAAAGATAATTGCCTGAAACTATTTTTAGGTAATGTGTAGAACTAAAGTCATTTTGGGGGTAAGCAATTCTTTCTCTGA